AGGGGGCATTCTATTAAAGAGGGCCATTCAATTGAAGGGGGCCATTCAAATTAAGACTAATGTAACTGAAATGACTAATAACCTTCGGTTATAGTCCAAATAATACGGTATTTGCCTCTAATTTTCAGCCATATTTTTAAATATTAGTCTTTATAATTTTAACACTTGTTATACATATTAATTTTTTAACCCTTTCGCAAGAATGTCAATGTAAAAGTAGCGGGAATGAACTGCTTAATAACTAATAAAAAATTAAATTCAGCGCGCCCAGCGCTTTTGTACAATCTCCAAAATAACGAAGTCGATGTTCAAAACTCATACAATCCAACTTTTGGTATACATCAAATGAACCTGTTCACCTATATTCCAATTTTGTTTACATTTAAAAGTAATTTTTAAATTATTAACAAAAATATTTCTGGTTATTGGAGTGATATTGGGGTCACACACACACAACTATATTACCGACATAACTAATATGGGGTAAAATTTTCAGGAGCCCCATTGTTCAGTGATGAGTTGAGAATGCAAGATTGGCAGAAGAATAAGTTATCAGATATTATTGATAATTCTGATGATTTATATTTTATTTATTATTCCATAAATAACGAAGATCTTCAAGCAAAGTTACAAGAACAAGTTATTAATGGTTATTTGCTCCAGACATTTCATACCTTCGGTTATAGTCCAAATGTAACTGAAATGACTAAATTTGGAGAAGGCTTCATTCCAACTCAACTTCGCAATTTTTCTGCACAGGTACATATTTGTTTGATTCAAGAAGCTCCTTGCTCATTCCCCAACCTGATCCCCAACATTCATTATCTCAAAAAATATATGAGAAGAATAAATATTACTTTTCAATATATTTACGTTCCGGTTATAAAACTGTAAATGCTAAAGGACTATATGGAAAAGGAGCAAACTGTAAGATTCTGAAAAACCTTTGGACATCCCGAAGCGAACCTAAGGACCTAACTGAAAAATTCGCAATACGGTTTGTTCCGAAACAACAAACTTGGGAAGAACTGTTAACTAATTTTTCCACAACGCAAAAAATTTAAAAAAAACTAAAATTTTCCAGAACTCGTCCATTTGATTTAAAGGAATTCTCATGTTCCTTGCCAAATTTCTCATTATTTATGTGAATGTAAATTTATACAATTTATGTTAGCTCTAGATTTTTTAATTTGATTATATGTATTTAAAGGTTACTAATTACATTGCAACATATTATGATGAGGATCCTTGTGGAGCAACAAACGAAGAAGAGGAAGAAGAAGAAGAGGAAGATGATGATGAAGAAGAGGATGACGATTGAATGAGGCTAATTTAGAAAGAAAACTCATCCTGATTGACCAGGAATCATCATTTTTTGGCGCTAAAGGCGAAAATTTTGAGAATTATAGATGCTATATGCGAAAAAAAGATCACTTGTTTGATATTTCCTTTCTTAGTTTTTTTCATTTTCCCCATCTCTTGATTCAAATATCCTTCAAATATCCTTTAATCCATGATATCCCCCTTTAATCCCTTCGAATCAAACGATATCCCCTTAACCCGCCAAATCTCTCATTATTTCCCTTAATCCCTTCAGATTCCTTATTAAAGTTGTGAAGAAATGAAAAAAATTTTGCTGATCAAATGTGTTTCCAGAGGTCAATATGACTTCTGGGTATAGGTCTTAAGGGTTGATCTTTTTTAATGGGATCATAAAATTTTGATTGCACTAGTAATTTTTTATTGGACCAATTCATTGGACTCATAAATTTTCATTGGATGCACAAAGGTTCATTGGACACCTAAACTAGATCATCGCCTAAAATTTTTCACTTAATTGGCAGCTGTAGGGAGGCTGTGTAAAAGATACAAACACTCCCCTCAATGATACGGGGTTCCAGTTCCGTAACCGATGCAGTTCCAGTTCAAACTGGAACAAGCCGATAAGTGTGAAAGACAACGAATCTTACACTTATTGAGTTGTAACTTTCTAATGGGTGATCAGACTTGATCCTCAGCTTTGAAAAAGCTAGCGCCTATCGAGAGCTTTCAAATGATATAAGATTCATTTGGATTGGATCAAGATAAAAAAAGTTCTTTTCTTTATCGAATACTTTTGTCTAATCTTTATTTCATTTTATTTAGAAATTTAAAACCTGATAAATAGTAGTCACAATTAAATTCTTTTTTGTTTTCAAATTTATTTAGAGGACAGAATTCTTGATCCATTATAATCAGGGTGCCGATTTTACCCTATTTATAGGGCATTTGCCCTATTTTTGAACTTTTCGCCCTATTTTTTCCCTATTTTTTCATTTGCCATATTTTTGCCCTATTTTTACCATTTTGTAATATTTCTAAAGTTTTTTGGGATTTAGTAAATAAAATGTAAAAAAATGAAGAAATATGAAACTTGGACGTCAAAAATTTTAAAAATTTTCGCCTGCGGCGCTGAGAAGATATTTTGTGAAATTTCCTTCCAAATTTTCAAAAATTTCGCCGGCGGCGCTGAAATTATCGGCTTATTATGAGAAACCACGAAAAAGGATCACGTACGGGATTTTGCGGATTGTCGATTCCAAATTCGGTTATTCGAACTTCGTTTCGAATCCCGGTTCCGATTTTTGAGATTATTTTTTCGAATTTCGATTTAAAAGATTTATAAAATCGAAATTTTTTTGATTTACGATCTTCAAGAATATTTTTATTTGAAAACAACTCGATCCCTATGTGCTTAATTTAGTTAAAACTAATGAAAATATGCTTAATAAAGCTTTTTATTTGAAAAATATAACAATGCCCTATTTTTGACCAATTTCGCCCTATTTTTGCCACATTTCTGAGTGGCTGCGCCCTATTTCAGTGGTTTGGAGTCGGTCACCCTGATTATAATCTGTAATTCCCCATGCGGGAAATCCCGATTTTCTGGAATTCGCCTAATTTTTTTTTATTTTTTATAACATCAATATGTATAGATAAGTTGGCGGTTGCCTATATAAAAATAACAAATTAATTCTTAGGGGTGTTAAAAACCGGAACTGGAGGAATGGAACCGAAAACAAAAAATCCCGGAACTTCCGGCACACCGGAACCGGACTTTCCGGTGAAGCTTTAACATAGAGGTATGTATAACTCGAAAATAATAAAGAAGCTATTTAAAATAATGTTGAGAGCGACAGAGAGTGACTTTGGTTAAATGTATATATCAAGAATTTTTCTATTAAACATTTAAATGATCAAAATTTTTAATTCAATTTATCAGTCATTAACATTTGCAATAACAAACAGGATCAAAAGGTTTACACAATCCCGAAGTATATCCTTTACTTTTTTGTGTTTCGCTAGTGCAGTGTAAATCACAAAGTATTGTAATAATTAATTCACATCCATGACCTAACCCTTGATTTGAGGGAGGGTGTTCACTACGACATTTATTATGTTCTTTTTGAGATTCTTCTGGTTTGGATATTGTATTCGATTCTTCTTTCAAGGGTTCATCAGTTTCTTTTATTTGAGCCCTGAAAATGTTTTTTAGGTTAATCTGTAATAAAATTTTTAAATTTAAAATAAAATTGTAAAAGAGTAAGTTATGTCGCGTAATCTAGACGCATATCCGTGATATCAAGGATTTGAAGGATTAAAATTTAGATAACACTAAAAGAATTGAGTGGATTGAGGAGAATAACTTGCGATTTAGGAATGTAGTGGATATCGATGGTTTGTAGGATATCGAGGGACCTGAAAGGAGATAAAGGAACCCCAGATATTTAACCCTCGAAACAAGGAGGATTTAAATGGATATAGGGATTAAGGAGGAAATCAGAAAATTTAACAAGCCTTCTGAAATTGGAAGAAAAAATCAGAATTCGGCACCGGGACTCTGATAAGGATGTCAAAATATGCTTAAAAATCAAAACATTAGGCATAATTAAACACCCGATATCGGACTCGGAAATTCGAGACCGAAAAGACGTCGGAATAGACATAAATGAAATTCCTGATAGGTATTAAAAATCCTTATAGGTAGCAAAGTAACAAAAAATATCTTTTAAGTTGAACATAAAAATCCTGCCAAAGACCCGAGATCCTTATCCTAACTTTAATATAAGATTTTAATTTTACATTTGTTGTCCTCCTTCCTCTTGAGAATAGCCTTGCTTAATTAATAAAGTAAAAAATAAAATATTTAATAAAATAATATTTATTAATTTATTTAAAATCATTTTTGAAACAAATAAAAATAAATGGGAATTCTAGTTGAAATAAAAGATAAAGAATAAAATTATAATCATCAATAATCTCTAATAAAAAATTACAGACGAAAAAAGATGATTAAAGATAAAAATAATTATTTTTAAAATCCAGTTTTTCTTCTTCTCCGATGGCATTTTGTTAGTCGAGACGGTGATTTATTTTGGGTCATCTTCTTTTACAAAAAGATTGTTAAAAAATACAGAAAAAAACTAGTTATTAATAAATGTAAAATATAAAAAATTTTTAAAAATTTTTACTAAATATATTTAAAAAACTATTCACGAAACGAGAATTAAATTTAGTAGGCATTGACTAATTGTTATAATTTAGGCGAGGATTTATAGGCAAATGCCTGTTTTTTCTGCAAGCTTGGGATGATATAACACGTTCAAAAAACGTGTTTTTAGCTTGGTCCGAAGAGCAACTCAAATTAAAATTTAACTTCACAGTTTTAACGTGCCTAACTATCCTCGCCTTAGCTATAATACACGTACCAAAATTTAAAATTAAATATGTTGTCCACCTGTACTGGACAGAATTTTGGAATGTGCAAATCCAAGGAGTGTAAAAGATTGTTTTTCATTGTGGATTTTCAAATTACTCAAAATTATGCCGTTTAGATCGAAAAAATATTTAGATTTTGAGAATGAAATAGAACCAAATATGTAAATAAATTTCAGATAAATTGTATTCTTTATTTATCTCTCCAAATATAAATTTATTAGTACAACATTTGTTTACTCAAATTAAAATTTAACATTCTGGGAAAGTAGCGCATTAGGCCATATACACTTAATTTCATTTTTTTGAAGTAGATTTAATAATATAATCATATTAAAAGAATTCTTTGAGGAATAAATTACTTCCATCATTAACTCAAGAAGTTGAGAATATCGAAGGGCTCCAGGACCTTGTCCATGCCTGTTTTGCTCTAACTGTAAAAGCATTTTGGTGTATCTTTCTTGTTCGGTTCTAATAATTTCTTTAGCTTTAGGAGATAATTCATCTGAGACTGCTGAAAATTATTTTATTAGGTGCGGACATAATTAGTGGCCGTTTTTTAGATTAAATTTTTAGGGGTATTTTTATTATCCTTCATGTCATATAGTCAGATTTCGTCTCGGTCGAGCCTTTGCCATAAGTCGTCGATATTAAATTTAATTATATGTATCTCAGATACATATTCCTACACTTTTTTAGTCATAAGAGCCAACCTGGATTAGCTACAAGTAAAGACATTAGTAAAACAAATTCATTAATATCAGGGCGGACTAGAGAAAATTTTTTCATTGGCATAATGTGTGTTTTTCTTGCATATCTCTCTCTAAATTGTAATAATTATTTAAATTTTTTTTTCAAAAAACTCAACAATAATTCACAATTGTATTTAATGGAAGTTGTTTTGATAATTTCATAAGGCACTTCTTCACTAGGTAAGCTTAATGTCGTTGCATTTATCTCAAATGAATAGTATAATTGAAGCATAAGGAATATTTGTAGCATTGTTTTTGTTATTAGAATTGACTTTAATTTTAACAAATTATTCTTAATTTGTATTATTTTCGGTTTAAAGGGCCTCCAAAAATATTCTAGTAAAAATAATTAAGGCTAAAAATGGGCAATTTTTTTAATTCTTAAAATGAAAGACAACTGGAAAGTTAATAGGGTACTTGTAAAGAATAGGGTGCCCGCATTATAGTAAGTCACAAATGGTCATAAATAATATTTTTTTCTCTCACAATCAAAAAGTCATCAAATAAAATCAAATAAAAAATAAAGTAGATATACCTGTTCTTCAATTGTCAATATATTAAATAAAGGCAATGTTTTGACAAAACTTATCGAAACAAAAAGATCTTTCAAAAATTGGTTAAGACCTTCACTTTGTAATTTGTCTTTTTCAGACCAAAGTCCATATTCCATAATTATATTTAAATGACTATCTCTATCCCAACGTTGCGGAAGTTCAAGCTTTAATTAAAAATAATTAGGACTAAGATTGGTAAAATAGTCCTAATTGTATATAGTCTTGATGGTATACGGTATTTAATTGATTAATTCCCCTCCTTCGATTAATTCCCCATGCCACGAATGGGTTGAAAAATAATTCCCCGGAGGAATTAATCGAGTAAATACGGTACCAATCAAATTTTAAAAACGTCTTTCAAATTGAGCGTGTTTAATAGTGTTTAATCTTATAACGACATTCTTATTAGTTATCTTTTAAATTAAAAAATTCCTACAGAAAAAGCCTCGTGTTTAGTAAGTATATTATGTCCAGAATTCAACAGATCCTCCAAGCAATTATAATCATCAAAATATTCCATGGGTATCATTGTAGAAGAATGCCGTATTCTTCTAACAAAGGATTCTACCTTCAACATTTGTCCAAGTTCGGTTTGAATAACTGTTGATTCGTTGAATGTTAACTCATTTATCTTTCATGAAAAATTAAATATATTAAGCTTTTGATATTAGCTGAGTATCCCATCAAGTGATGACTCAAAAATGAAATTAAATTTGTGGAATAGATGTCTAAGGAAAGACACCTTAACAAATTATGCATAATTTCCGAAAGTAAAATTCTGAAGATTAATGGTATACTCCAAAATAGAGCTTTCCAAAGATGTTTAAAAATAAATAACTCACCGTTAGTAATGACCCTTTTTGTGCTTGGGAATTTTGCATGATCTCTAAGCCTTTAAAAATATTAATTTTAATAAATAAAATACAACACGACATTTGCGACTACAGGCTAGATAATGATTATAAGGTAGTAAGTCTGGGAGAAAATTATTTGATTCCAAACAATGTTTGGTCTTATTAAGCATAGAAATATCACGCCAGTGGCAGCCGCAAATGTTGCTTTTCATTAATACGGTTAATTATTAATCAGTCGGATCTCAGTTATAAGTCAGTTTTACAGTGAAGTCAATTTTTTTGCTTAGTATATCAATTGAGATCCGACTACTAAAATTTATTTCTTACTTCTTTTCTTTCTAAAATCACGCAAACGGACAGAGAGAACCACTAAAATAAAAATTTTTTAAATTATTTCCTAAAATATGTGAGTAATTTTAACAGCCATATACATACATACTAGAGTGGAACTCCATGGCTCTTTCCAGATTCAGGTCGTAACTATTAAACTTTTGTTGACAGATTAAAAATAAATTGTTATAAATTCTATTCTTTATTTGGAAGTATGGTATTAAAAATTACCAAAAAAAGCAAAATTTCAAAATTACCCACATTCTTTTTTCATCCCCTTTGCCAAACAATGTTCAAATCGGCATCTTTTACATCTGAATTCCTTCCAATCTTGAATTTAAAATTAAATTTTTATGCCTAACATCGACCTATTTATAAGATACACCGTTATGGCTGAAAAATTCTATCCTTTTTTTATCGCATTGACGAGAACTAATCTCCGGCCAATGTTAATCAATTAAAAAACAATCTTTAGTAAAAGTATATTTTATTGGGAGTAGTTAACCCACAGTCACCGTCGTGGCTGGCACTAAGCTAATCCTCATCAAGTGGTGGAGGGGTCCGACAAAACCTAAAGGGAGAGGGCATGCCGCGGTAAAGATCAAAGGGAGTGGACACTGTCGTGGGGGTGGGGGGTCCGATAAAAGGGAGAGAGCGTCGGCAAAGATCAAAGGGAGTGGACAATGTCGTGGGGAGGAATGAGAAAACCCAAAAGAGGGGTGGGTAATTTTAAAATATGCGGCTGGCAATAAAATCTTGCTTGTCTGTTAATAATCCTATAAGTAGTAATCATGTACTTACAACCTTATTAATCAATAATTTTATTAAAAAACTTGTACAATTTAAAACTTAAGAAGTACTAGATTTTAGGGAGAAAAATGCAAATTTTGGAAAAAGAAAATGCAAATTTTTAATTTTTATTAAAAACAAGGCATTTTAGGTATGTGCGTGCTCTGGGGGTGTGCGTGTGCTTTTAGGGGCGTGCAAGTTTTTTTTTTGTAATTCACTGAAAATCCAGGTATAAAAAGGTGGAGATTTTGGATTCTAGTATCATTATTTCAAAATGAACCAAAATTTGTTTTCCCAAATCCTCCCTGAAGTTGATTTAAATATCTCTTCGAGTGGAATAACCGTGTTAAGTTCTCGCCTTACCACTCCACGATTTATTCCTTATGATCAGTCAGGGAGATGTAAGGAGTGTAAGAGCACTGAAGTGGAAATTGACTTTATTGTGACTAAGGAAGGGATTACCATCTACTGTACACGAATTGGATCAGGTACTCGATTTGTTCCGTTTGATACAATTTATGATTTACCCACTCAATGCTTTTTCAAAATTAAAAATAAAGGAAGAGTTTTCAATGTCCCTCATGGAGTACAACCACAACAAATTATCCATCAAAACCCAAAGAGAGGGAAAAGGAAATTGGATGAATTGCCTCCTACAACTGCTCCTTTTGCTAACTTACCTTCTCAAATTTCCCCTACTCCTCATGTACCTCCAGCTGATTGTCCAAATGCTATTTCCAATACCTCTCGTCCTGATACACCTCCTGATAATGTAGAGTTTGAGAATGAGCTCCAGGAATTTTATGATAGTTTAATGGCAGCTACGACTGGATTAACTTCATCACCGAAAAAGATGGAAGAGTCAGAAGAGAAAAAGGATGATACAAATGTTCCTATATAAACTTTAGTCTTTTAACGAAAATATTTTTAATTATGGAATCACAATCATTTACTAATAAAGATTTGTATTTTAAATTACCATTTGGTATGATTTTGTCAGGTCCAAGCTCAAGTGGGAAGAGCTCATTCCTAATGAAATTTATAGCAGACTCCCAAGATTTGATCGATCCCTCTCCAAAAAGTGTACTGTATTGTTTTGGGGAGATGAACGATAATATCCCTCTCCTTCAAAAATCTGGAGTTAATGTATATGCAGGAGTTCCCCCAGAGGAGCTAATAAAAAGTTATTCAAAACCTTTACTCCTAATTCTAGATGACTTGCTCCTGTCAATAGATGAAAAGTATTTGTCAGAATTATTCACTAAAAAGTCCCACCATCAAAATTTTGCAGTTGTTTTTGTAACCCAAAACCTATTTGAGAAAAAGATTAAGGTCGCTCGTCAAAATGCACAATATATTGTTTTGATGAGGTCGCCGAATTCTGCACTCTCTGTGAGAAATATCGGAGTACAGCTATTTCCACGTCAACTCGATTATTTTTTAGATGCGTACAAACAGGCAACAAATGAGCCATACGGATATTTACTCATTGATTTGCATGCCTCATCAGATCCTAATCTAAGACTTAGGACAAACATATTTAAGGACGACGAAGAGAAGATAATTTTCATTTCCAAAAATGTTTAGTCAATTAATTTGTGAGAATAAAGAATTTTTACGCTCTTTGGCGATTACAAAATCTGAAAGGAGATATAAGAAACTTTTAAGGAAGGCTGATACTAGTCAGTTGTTATCCATTGTTGAAATTTGTTTGAATATTGTAAAATCCCGTTTTAATCTTAACACTCGTCAAAAGAACCGTTTATTACCATATGCAGAATTTATTCGTAAATTGAGTCGTGCTAGGAGTGAACGGGGAGCAAGAAAAGTTTTAAGGCAAAAAGGTGGAGGAGTAGGAGTATTTGCTGCTCTTCTCACTCCTATTCTAATGGAACTAGCTCGAGCAATTAGTATAAAAGCCTATCAAAATAATTAAAATCAATCATAAATGGCAAAAAAATTAATTCTTGTTCCAGAAGAGATTTATAGAGGGCTTACTTCAAATAATTATGGGGACCCAAATTTAGATTTTACAAAGAGAGCGTTGGAGAATGCTAAAAGTAAAAAAGAAAACCTCTCTGCCAAAAATATTCATTATAACCAAGAACTTAGACGATATCTTAAACTAAGGAATGAAAGTGAGAATAAACCTGTTAGAGTTGAAATGGTAGCTAACCCCAAAGGAGCAATTATGAATAGAGATGTTATTAGACCCTCAACAAATATTACAGACGATAACGATGACTTATGGATGAGCGATGATTTTTCCTATTCTGCCTACCCACAAGAGCCGCCAGCCTTATCATATAATATTGTTCCTCCTTTGTCAAATTCTTCAAACGAGCAAAGCGCCCCCATAACTCGACGTAGAAACATATTAAGAGATGGAATTTCCCCCAATCCTCTTACACCTAGAGAAAAAATCAAGAGAAAAATTGAGGAGGATGATTATAGACAAAATAAAAGGCAACATTTGATTAATTATAAAAATGAGGCTAGAAATGAGTATATGAAACTTTCTGAAAAGGCTAGGAATAAGATGAAAAAATTAGAAAGGAAAAAGATGTTGAAAAATTGGAGAATTCCTTATACCCCTGAATATAATACAAATGTCCCAGTTGATGATAATTTTCCTCCATCACCTCCCAACCCAATTCTCCCTACTATTCCTGAAGGTATTGATGCTCCTCTTGTATCAGACCCTCCTCCAACAAGACAAATTACAAAAAGGGGACAGTCAGAAGAGTTTGAAGGTACAAAAAGATGGAAAAAGGGATTTAATGAACACGAAGAAGCAAAATTAAAACGTGAACAGAAAAGAAGGGAATATTTACAAAGAAAAATTAATATTAGAGAACAAAGGGTTCCCATTGATCAATCAGCGTTAGCTAAATACCGAAAGGAAGATGATATTCAAAGACGTCTAAAATTAAAAAGAAAATGGGAAGGTCCAGATGAAAGTCCTCTAATTGCCTTGAAAAAAGTAAAACCTGTCACAAAAACTCAATCAGCAAAAGCTGGAAGAGAATGGATGCTAAGACTTATAAAAGCTAAACGTAAAGAAGCGGGTATAAAAAGATTTAAGCCAACACTTTGGTAAAAAAATGGCAGACCCCACACAGCTATTACATCGACTATACAACGATCCAGATTCTCCTGCTGCCTTTTCTGGAGTTGATAGGTTATGGTATGAGGCACGTAAAATTCTCAAACACTTACCCAAAAAAGTTGTTCAGGATTATTTGGAGGGGCATAGGACATATACGCTTATGCGTCCAAAAAGAATACATTTTCCTAGAAGTAAAACTGTAGCGACAGGTTTCATGACAGATGTACAAGTAGATTTGGCTGACATGCAGGCTCTCTCTAGACATAACAAAGGAAATAAGTATATTCTCCTAGGAGTTGATGTTCTCTCCAAACGACTCTTTGGTGTCCCAGTTAAATCCAAGGGTTCAAAGGATATGTTAGAGGCATTTAAACAACTAATTGGTCAAATGCCTATGAAACCTCATAGGATATTCTCCGATAAAGGGTTAGAATTTAAAAATAAAACTGTCAAGGAATATTTTGCTCAAGAGGAGATTCAAAAATTAGAGGCTAC